TTGGCAATAGTAGCTCTTGGTTTTCATTTATTTAAGGTTAAACCAAAAATTACGTAAACAGCTATTTTAAACAATTGATGATATAAATCTTGACAATACTTTCTTCATGATTTAAATGAATATTTATTGTTTTGTTCGACAATCCTGAAGCTGCAGCAAACAGACACGCATTTTAAAGTAGAGAAATTGGCAGACACCAAGACTTAAAAATTGGCAAATATAACGAGATTGTGAGTCGCCTTCTTACAGGAATGTATTCTCTTAAATAGCACTGTTTATCCAGGTCTTTTTCTCTCGCATTTTTACAATTATCTACGAAACAACATAAAAGAGAAACAAAGCAACTTAAACAGCAAATTAGCTAGCAAGACCAGATCAGCAAACTAGTCAACGTAACCGATTTCTTCAGTTGAATGCAAAGAAATCCTGTTGTCTTTCAATGATAATTTCTACTGTTTTTTGCGTTTTGGGCTATTCTTGAATAAAAGATTGCCAAAAAGAGCTAAAATAAGCAAATATCTCCGAAATTATGAGTTGACACCTTTTATGAATCGTTACTTTTCAGCCATCTTAGTTTTTTGGACTTAAACTATAATCGTTTAAAAAAAACTATAAAAAGCTTGTTTTGTTTTAGATAAGGCCGTTAGTTTTGTCAGTTGAAATGTTTCATATTTTCATTTAAAAAAATATTTTCAAATATTTCGTACTTACCAAATTAAACGATGGATCCTTTAAAGGAGCCCTTGTATGATAAAAATTAACAAATTTGTTTTTTTGACAATTAAATTTAAAACTATACAGCACAGAAAAAACATTTGTAAATGTTAAAATCGAAAGAAGTACTTTTTTCTAATACACTCAACACTATAACAGATAGGGTAAATAGCAACAGTTATCAACTGAGCAACAGTTCAACATGTATCGACTCCTTAAAGGATGTCTTGCCCTTGCATGATAATGGTCACACATTTTTCGTATGGGTAATTATCCTTAAAATTATATAAAATATAGATATTAATTTTGGTGGGAGAAGACTTTGAAGTCTTCCGAAATCCTAAACTGCCGGTGAACCTTAGGTGAACTCTTGCCGTATCCCTCTATGTGCTTTACAATTTCTAAACTTCTCCGTGCCATATCGGTACACATGATCGGTAACAAGTTCGTAAAATAGCGTCTGCATCATCTTATAAAACAAAAGTACAGTCAGGCTGAAAAAAACATCACTATTGTGAGTGTTTTAATTTCTCATGATTAAAAAGTTTTAATATCTACCTATTTATTTATGTCAATTTTTAGATTCCATCTTAATCATCTTTTATATTACCTGTACGTTATTCATTTACTTGCAACCGGATCGTTTGAAACTAGGTTTGGTAGTACGCATGCATTAATTTAATCATAATTCGAAACTTACTCGAATGATGCAGCTTCCTCCATTCACTGCCGTTTCTCATAGGGGTAGTTGAAATAAAACAACTGGATTATTCGGGTAAATCCAAACCACATTGGTAAATACAAATCTACGCATATGCACAGATGGGACATTTAATTGTGAATCCGAAAGTTTCAAAATTATGATAAATGTTATTTTCATTAATTGATATAATGCATTTTATGTTAGTTTAAAGTAATTACGCATAGAGTAATACTTTAACTCAATGATGCTTAACAAAAATACACGGATTAAATTTTTCCGTCTGTGTTAAGATCTCTAACGCACATTGGTCAAGCATACATTTTTTTTGTAAAAATATTAGATGAAAAACAAATATGATTAACAGCAGCAAATTAGTGGTTCCCAACTTGGGTCATGCACATACATGATAAATGAACGCGTTTTAAATGTTAACAAGAGCTCTCACCCAATACCTGACCAAGGACAACTGCGTAACTTTATAGCGCAAGAAGAATCAGAAGAAAACATAGCTAATGATAGATTTAGTTCCACTTTCAAATATGTCAATGTAAAGAGCTCAACTGATAACAACTATAACTTTTCAAGATTGATTTTTGTGTTAGTAGTGGTCAAATTGTAGTTTTCGAAAAAGACTTGAGTTGTTTACACCTGACAAATTTTAAACTCTGCATTGAATATATTTAGAACTTTTCAAAATATGTTTATAATGATGAAAAAACCAAGTAACTGTGAACAACTATAACAATTCATGATTTACTGATTGCTGTTGTTGTTAAAGACCAAACAGCCTATTGTTTATGCGCATTAGCTAACGCAACTTGATTGTGACATGAAAGCTCTATGACGTTGTGTCCAGTTGAACATTAATGATTTGCACACTTAAGGTACCAACAAAAATAGTTCTAGTAGTTTTGATCTACTGGAACCAAGTTTGACTTTAACTGATTCCCGTAAAACGTTGTTCGATCTTGTTAAGAAGTTCAGTTTTTATTTATACTGCTAAGTTGACAAAATATTAAAAACAAAAACATTGTATTTTGCTACAGCCGATGATTGGTATCATTTAGAATTGAAAAAATAATAAATCTGTTATTCATATTTTTGTTGATTACTTTGTTTTTGTTTTTTTTTGGAGTGGTGAGGGGGGACTGGGAGGGGTGGGGGGGTGGGTTGAGCTGGTGAAGGGGACAATTGCCCCACCACACTTTCAAAATGGGGGAGGGAGGCGACAAAAGATATTTTTTGGTTTGGTTTTGTTTCTTTGTACGTATGTATGTATGCACTTGTAGAAAACCTATATGACAACGGTTGTTACCAGCCTTGTTTTTTCGTTACCTTTGTTCTGTATCTAATACTTTACTAATCAGTTTTGAAAAATACTTAATCGTTTCCGACGGAAACTTATTTCTTTCAGTTTAAAGGAAAATTGTTAAATTCAAAACTAGACGTCTTTTCCGGCTTATTTGTACTTTGTAGTTTCTGTATTCAAGACCCATGAAAAAGTAATAACAGAAATCGTATATTATAATAGGCCATATACATTTTTTTGTACATGTAACATTTTAGTATAATGAATTACCTAAGTCTACCTATCATTTCAACTTTTTTAGATTTTTAATATTTAGAAATTACGAATCTACAAATTAGACGGAATAGTTTTTACATGCCCGACTTAGTCGGAAAGTTGTATTATTGGGTAAACACTAGTCCAGTCGTGCTTATGTCCGTCCGTCAACACTCTATAGTCTTAAACAATAATAAGAAGATGTGGTATAATTGCAAATCAGACAACTATCCACCAGAGACAAAATGACGTAGAAGGTTATCGTAGGGCCTTCAACAAGTAACAAAACTAATACTAATAGTTTACAAGGTAGTTAGTGTCAGTGTCATCTTTCATTTTCATTTTTGTTTTATTTCCAACAATTCTGTTAAAGAGAGGAAATGGAAAAATAAACTTTCTTTTTTAAAGTGGAATAGAAGGAGATTTCGAACGCATATTACATTTCACGGGCGGTGTTTCTGAAACTTATTTCAAAGCTGAGATTCTCGGTTTAGAGAGTCAATAGAATGAGATCTGACAAATACTGATACCTAAATGTGACCTCTCGTATTAAAGATGATAAAGAATATTATTGCATTATTGTAAATTCTAATGTATGTTTCAAACGTCCAATTTGCAATATTTGCGAAAATTACGGGAAATTTGTACTATGATGTCAGATGCAGTATAAAGACAACTCTTTTCTTAAAAACAAATAAAAATAAAACATGAAAATTACTCATAATGTTTTTGAAAGGTCGGTGACATATGGTATTTGGGGCTTCATTTGAAAGTTAAAACAAATTTCTTTCTTTCTTGAAATTTTTAGGAAGAAATCACTGGTAGAATTTTTTTAATACTAGAAACTTTTTTCATTCTTATGTGCTAATATTGGCGGGAACGAAGTAAACCACACTTTTTATAATCAAAACACACAGAAACTTTAACTCTACAATCTTAAATGTTTAGATATAAATCTACTGCTTAAAGTGAAACAAGAATTATGCTCCTAGGTTCGGTATTATTGGATTATTTGCAATTTTAGATAACAAACAAATACTATTGATATTTCGGAAACACAAGAAACTGAGGTTGCTAAAGTGACGTAACGAAGGCGGTGACCCATAAATTTTTTTCATCATATTTTATTCCTAAATCATGAAAAACCTTCACTCAAAATTTTAGGAAAAAATCACTGGTAAAAATTAATAGGCTTTTTGGTCTTTAAATCCCACTTTAAGCACACTAGAATAAAACCATGGTTGCCAGTTTTTTTTTATACAAAGCTAGGAAATCGAAATACCCAAAGTGACTTTCTACATTTGACGGAAAAAACTTTCAAGTGAATCCTAATCAATTCCTGGTATAGTTGCTTGCATCGATTTGACCATGCTGAGACAAATGTATGGAATTATCGAAAATTTGTTTTGGCTGAGACATAAGTATTATTTGGGTATATTATTTGTGGAAGAAAAAAACATACGTCGAAAGCAATAATGGGACTGAGCAGGCTGCGTTTGTGTTTGCTGCTTTCATGGTAATTCAAGTTATCCTTTTATGCATCTTCTTCCGCCACTGTGCTATTAGCTCTTTGATTTACCAGAATCAAGGGAAGATTTTATGTATCTAACAAGAAATGCCTTGATCATAATTGTTAAATTCTTTGCTAGAACTATTACTTTTAAATTACATCTTTTGTGATACCCATATGTTGAATATTTGGATATTGTCTTGAGAACTATAAACGATAGTGGAAAAATTGTTAACCGCACAAATGGGTAGCAAGCTAAGTTTAACAAATTTTTGAAAATAAAAAAAAAAAAAAACATTTAATATGTGGATTAACTATAGTCAAATTAGGTTCTTGCCCTAAAAGACAATCTCTATCATTTGTTATTATCTCGAAAACTATAAGGTATAGATAAAAGAAGCGAATTAGCAGAAGAGATCAAGCATACCGTTATAGAGTTCTATATAGAGATATAACTTGATTTCATTGTTTTCTCCAATACCAAACTTAACATTTTGTTCGTTTTAAAGTTGATGCTAACCCTAAAAGAGGAGGCTGTTTAGCTGAACAGAAACACATCTTCAAAGCAGCCAGGAAAACAGATTTTGAATGTAAGAATCTCGACAACATTATATATACATTTAAGATAACTCTTAGATAAAACAAAATAGTTGATTTATGTCATTTTTCGATCATTAATTTTTAGATAAAATTCATATAGGTCAACATGAATACAATCATAATGACTAGTCGTTAGAGAGAAACGATGGACTTCTTAATAATTAGCAAGTCAATAAGAACAAATGAGTTTCAATGGATGAAATCGTCATTCGACTATCTCTAGGTGTAGATTTGTAAACGTTGTTTTCCTTGTTGGCTATAACCCAGAAAACTATAACTGATAGAGAAAAAAGTAACAATTACCAACTGTACAACAGCTACAATTAGTCAAAGCAGTTGAAATTATATGTCAACTCTTTGTAGAAGCGAAATCGATAGAAGTTACAGATAAACTGCAAGCATCAAGATAATCAACCAAACATATTGTACAAATAAGTCCTCATTATACAATTTGACTATTGACTCCTTAAAAGAAGTATCGACCCTGTATGATAGTTTTACACATTTCTCGATTATTGTTGTTAATTTTAAACCTATCAAATAAAAGACATAAAAACATTTGCTACACTAAAAAAGAAAGAATATCGATATCTAACAGCACGTTTCATGGTCATAATAGTTTACCAACTCATGATAAGAATTTCTACTTTTAAATATCAAGTGTAACGATAACGTTGCGTTGCATTTTTAGGCATAACTTTGTATCGTGTGAATTATAATAGAAAGGGGAAAACGGCAAGCAGATCAAATAAGCAGTAAGATAAGTTTAACAAAATTATGAACATAACATGAAATGTAGATTAACTTTTTTTATATGAGATTCTTACTCTAAATGACAATCCCCGTCATTTGTTATTATCTTGAAAACTATAAAGTAAGGAAACAGAACGTAGATTAGCAAACAAGATCAAGTATACCGACGTACAGTTTTACGGAATAGTCCGTAGAAGATTTAATCGTAGACATTTTCACAGACATTAGAGATTCAAGAAAACAAACAACATTCGAGTAACTTTCACATTTACCATGTTTAAAAACATTTGATGAAACCATAGAGATAAAACTTGATTACCTTGTTTATTCGCATAATAACCAAACTTAAATATATTCCTCTTTACTTTGTTTTTTACTTGAAGTTGCTGATCATATGTCAAAGTTCAGATGTAATACTTACCCCGGTTTGCTCGCTAAACAGAAAGCTATCGTTAAACCATCCAGGAAATCACAAGATATTGAATGTAAGTATCTCGGGAACATTAAATATGAGATAACTCTAGGTAAAACAACTTGTTGATTGATGTCATCTGTCGATCATCAACGAAAACATGTATGTATTTTCAGACTAAATAAAAGTCCTATAAAACAACATGAATGCAATCGTGAAAAACGTCTGAATAATCAGGAAGACAATAAGAACAAATGGTTGATACGCCAAAGGTATAGATTTGAAAATGATGTACCGTTGTTGGAAGAATAAGCAACAATTACCAACTGATCAACATCTACAATAAGTTAGAACAATCGAAACGATAAATCAATTCTTTGTAGTAACGTTTTCCTTTCAACAATATTTTAACCAGTTTTTGGGTCTTTTGCTAGATCGATGAAACAGGGAAACTGTTAGCATCTAGATAACAAACCAATACATTGTACAAATTAGTCCTCATAATACAATTTGACTATTGACTCCTTACTATATATATCGACTCTGCATGATAATGTTTACACGTTTCTCTGTTATTGATGCCAATTTTAAAACTATCAAAAAAAGAAGAAAACAATCCATTTGTAACAGTTAAAAAGAAAGAATATCGATATCTGACAACAAGTGTCATGGTCATAATAGTTTATCAACTCATTGTTAAAATTTCTACTTTTAAATAACACAATTTACGATACCGTTGCATATATCGATATTACATTTTATCTTGTAAGTTATAAAAGTTAATGGACAACTTCAAGCAGATAAAAAAAGCAGCAAATTTTGTAACATAACGTTACATGAAGATAAACTTTTTATATGAGGTTCTTACCCGCAATGACCTTCACCGTCATTTGTCATGAAATTAGAGATAAAAAAAAAATACATTCGATGAAATCATAGAGAGAAAACTTGATAATCTTTTTTTACAACTATATCAACCAAACTGAATTTTAGTTCTCTTTAAAAACAAAAAGATTCCACGCTTACCATGAAAAATGCGGGTGTATATTGCTAAAAAAACAGATATCGTCAAATTAGCTAGAAAAACACTCATGTATTAATGTCATGAAGTCATATTGAGTTCCTTACATATATCATTACCTATAATTTGTACCGTTATTGACATTGTACAACTGTTTTCGACAATTTTATTTAATAGTCCAGCATTCCAGTGAAAATGTCATGTTTAAAAGGACCAGACATCCAAGTTTGTCTTCGTGTAAGCATTATATATATAAGATATTGGTTATAACTACAAATGAATTATACACATTGCAATTATCAACAATGATATCAACAGGCAAACAATATTACAAAACTTCCCTCAAATGTTTCTTCGTAATGTATTTATTTTGAAAATTATGTCCGGAGATTTGATCCGTAAAACATAGAACTAATCGCTAAAATTAAAAAAATAGGGGTACCATTGGGTGTATGCTAATATTTTAAAAACTATAACAGTTTCTGGGAATTTAAAATTGGCTTAAAATAATTAGCACGTCCGTATTATCCCTTAAAATGTCATCGTAAATAAATTTTAATATCTATAGTATTAAAGAAGTTGCAGTCAACTTGACATGAAATCAAAAAGATCAGCAGGTCATGGTTTGTCGACTATGAAATATATATCGTACTTAAGTTTTAAAATTTTAACTCACAACTGAAATATGAAAGCAGTTAGAGTCAATTGGCATGAGAACTTCCCTTTCTGATTGCGATATTTTGTTACTATCTTTTGAATGATAACATATAGATAGATATTGCAAACTAACTGTAAAAATGAAAACCCTGAAACGTTTTATCTACAAATAAACATTGGCGAATGGTAAAACAACCCCTTAAACGGATTACTACAACGTTATTTGCCAACATCTTGCATATGATATCAGTAAGAGTAAATCTGACATAAGGTCAGCAAAAAAACAAAAGAGATCTGCAGACAAACTGCGAATTGAAAAAAAAACGAACCTCTTCTTTAAGTGTGAACGCAGAGTATTCGCAGTAACAGACAACTAGTTCGGAGCCAATAACAATAAAACATCATGCATCTAAGAATAAATTATCTATCTGTACACATCAAACATTTAATTGATTTAGTGTAAAGACGTCATAAAAGGTTAGAGAAAGAAACATTACCCTGTGCAATTCTAATACAAAGGTATCGACAGATAATAGAGCCATGAATGTGCAAATAGATATAAGAAGATGTGATATGAGCGCCAATGAGTCAACTCTCCATTCAAGTCACAATTTGTAAAAGTAAACCATTATAGATCAAAGTACGGTACTTTTGCACGGAGCATTGGCTCACACCGAACAACAAGCTATCAGACCAATAATATTACTAGTGTAAAACCATTCAAACAGGAAAACCAACGGTCTACTCTATATAAAAAACGAGAGACAAGAAACACTTATCAACCCCACCAACAAACGACAACCACTGAACATCAGGTTCCTGACTTAGGACAGGTGTATATAAAAATGACACTAAGTTTTTTTACGACCGCAAAAAAATTTTTTTGCGATCGTATATTGGTATCACGTCGTCGTCGTCGTCCGAAGACATTTGGTGTTCGCACAATAACTTTAGTATAAGTAAATAGAAAACTATGAAATTTTTACACAAGGTTTATGACCACAAAAGGAAGATTGGGATTGATTTTGGGAGTTTTGGTCCCAACAGTTTAGGAATTAGGGGACAAAAAAGGGCCCAAATAAGCGTTTTTCTTGGTTTTCGCACAATAACTTTAGTATAAGTAAGTAAAAATCTATGAAATTTAAACACAAGGTTTATGACCACAAAAGGAAGGGTGGATTGATTTTGGGAGTTTTGGTCCCAACAGTTTAGGAATTAGGGGCCAAAAGGGTCCAAAATTAAACTTTGTTTGAATCCATCAAAAATTAAATTAATGGGGTTCTTTGATATGCCAAATCTAATCTTGATTTAGATTCTTAACTTTTGGTCCCGTTTTCAAATTTGTCTACATTAGGGTCCAAAAGGTCCAAAATTAAACTTAGTTTGAATTTAACAAAAAAAAATTATTGGGGTTCTTTGATATGCTGAATCTAAACATGTACTTAGATTTTTTATTATGGGCCCAGTTGTCAAGTTGGTCCAAATCGGGGTCCAAAATTAAACTTTGTTTGATTTCAACAAAAAATGAATATATGGGGATCTTTGATATGCTGCATCTAACCATGTATTTAGATTTTTGATATTTGGGCCCCGTTATCAAATTGGTCCACATTGAGGTCTAAAAGGTCCAAAATTGAACTTTTTTTTTTATTTAATTTCATCAAAAATTGAATTCTTGGGGTTCTTTGATATGCTGAATCTAACCATGTATTTAGATTTTGGATATTGGACCATAATAGGTAAATGTCCATTTAAAATTTTTAAGTTCTTAGACCACATTCATACTGTGTCAGAAACCTATGCGATGTCAACTATTTAATCACAATCCAAATTCAGAGCTGTATCAAGCTTGAATGTTGTGTCCATACTTGCCCCAACTGTTCAGGCTTCGACCTCTGCGGTCGTATCAAGCTGCGCCATGCGGAGCATTTTATTGCTTTTAATTTACTGATAACAAAATCAATATTAATACAAATAAAAATAATATTCAGAGATCTAATTACAGTGTTGAGTTTTTAACCTTGCGGAATAAATTTACCAGGATAGTTTCTAACTTTTCAGGGTTCGGTAAACAACATCTTCGTAAAAATAAGGATATGCTCTCCCGTTTGAAATAAGTTTTCTACAGGTACAATGAAACTTCAAAACATATATTTGTATCTATTGATGAATTTAATAAAGGTTTCAAATAATTATCGGTCACGAAACCCCTGACTTCATATTTTACCAGTAATACATATATTACGTTCATTAAGATCAAAACCGTCACAACAGACACAGGCATATCGAACGATTTGTGAAATATAAACAGCGTAAGATGGTTGGAAAGGAACATCACCATCCAAAAAGGAAAATAACAACAAGAAATGAAAAATCGTTCCTTTTTCGTAAATTTTAGTGTAGAATTTCCGGTCTTGAATTGAAATATCTAAATCTAGGACAGGACAGTAATTACCGTGAATATTTGATTTTTTCAAAGTAAGTTCGGCAGTATATTTAGCATGTTTAGAATCTTCTTGATTATTTAACGAAACAATATCATCAAGATAACTGCAAGAATTAGTGTTGTGAAATTTAGAAACAGAATCAAAAGGACCATCAAAAGCACGTAATTTCTCTAAAACATTTAAAAAATTGCTTACACTCTAAAAACAGCTATATCATCTATTTACATATATTTACCTAGAACAGTTCATGATTAGTTCCTATAGTAGTTAAGGGACTTGTTAAAAGCATTGGAAGATCACTTGTAGGACACTTACTAGAGGCAGAGATGAATTAATCTTTTATTGTTTTTTTTTTGTTGTTAGACACATTGTTTTGCGGAACCCCTTACGAAATTTTATTTGTATTTAAATTTTTTTTTAAGAATTTTTTTTTTGATATCGAGGTATTATTATATATCATAAATTTTATTCAAAAATTAAGTTATACTTATAATTATTTATTGCACATTTAAATTGATATTTGATACTTGTAAAAGATAACTATGAGAACTTTAGAAGTACAGCGCATCATAAGCTGATGAAGGCTGGCTGACATAAAATATGTTTCATATTTGTATTATCATGTTGCACTTTAATAAAACAATATATATATATATATGCACACGTATAAAAATTGCGGTTTTTATCCAACGCAATCATAGGTTTGAACGTTGTTTTCAATTTAGACTTTTATATATTTTTTCGTTTGGGCTTGTATTATATTTTCCTTCGGGTTTATATGATCCGTTCATCCTATTTCGACTCTTTAAAATTCAAGAGTCTTTCCTAAAATGAGGTAAATTAGATGGCCTTCCAAATACCGTTTCGATCCCTAACATCACTGAAGAGACATTAATTGTCGAAATCAGGATATGGTGTACAAATTTTTGCACCTCATGTTTGTGGTATACCATCTTTACCACAAGTTTATTGTTTTCTGTTTGGTATTAAATTAATATTAAGATCCATTTTGTTAGATCTGGTGATCAATTTATTTGGCAATCGACAATGGCAGTCAGCAGGGTTTAAGAACATCAGTTGTTCGACCTGTTAGTCAAATGCGTTTTGTTAAAATATACTTTTTCACTTTTTTTGGTCTTTTGGAAATTGTTGTTTGTGCTGTATTTAGACCCCTCTACCAAGAAATTTGTTTTACATGCACACGTATAAAAATTGCGGTTTTTATCCAACGCAATCATAGGTTTGAACGTTGTTTTCAATTTAGACTTTTATATATTTTTTCGTTTGGGCTTGTATTATATTTTCCTTCGGGTTTATATGATCCGTTCATCCTATTTCGACTCTTTAAAATTCAAGAGTCTTTCCTAAATTGAGGTAAATTAGATGGCCTTCCAAATACCGTTTCGATCCCTAACATCACTGAAGAGACATTAATTGTCGAAATCCGGATATGGTGTACAAATTTTTGCACCTCATGTTTGTGGTATACCATCTTTACCACAAGTTTATTGTTTTCTGTTTGGTATTAAATTAATATTAAGATCCATTTTGTTAGATCTGGTGATCAATTTATTTGGCAATCGCCAATGGCAGTCAGCAGGGTTTAAGAACATCAGTTGTTCGACCTGTTAGTCAAATGCGTTTTGTTAAAATATATTTTTGCACTGTTTTTGGTCTTTTGGAAATTGTTGTTTGTGCTGTATTTAGACCCCTTTACCAAGAAATTTGTTTTACATGCACACGTATAAAAATTGCGGTTTTTATCCAACGCAATCATAGGTTTGAACGTTGTTTTCAATTTAGACTTTTATATATTTTTTCGTTTGGGCTTGTATTATATTTTCCTTCGGGTTTATATGATCCGTTCATCCTATTTCGACTCTTTAAAATTCAAGAGTCTTTCCTAAATTGAGGTAAATTAGATGGCCTTCCAAATACCGTTTCGATCCCTAACATCACTGAAGAGACATTAATTGTCGAAATCCGGATATGGTGTACAAATTTTTGCACCTCATGTTTGTGGTATACCATCTTTACCACAAGTTTATTGTTTTCTGTTTGGTATTAAATTAATATTAAGATCCATTTTGTTAGATCTGGTGATCAATTTATTTGGCAATCGCCAATGGCAGT